AACATAAATATACAACTAAGATTCTATTTAAATGCTTCTCTGGAGCCATTTTATCTGTAAATATTTGATGGGGAAAATAATAAATGAATTTCAGGTAGTCTACTATATTTGCTAACTTTGTTTTTACACACACATGTGTATATGCATGCACATATGCATGTTTATATATATATATGCAATTTTTATATCTAATGTAAATCTTAAAAAGGACCATGATTGTATTCTTATTATTAATATCCCCAAAAGGTAACATGATATTTATAATGAAAATAGAAGTAGAAGCAGTGTCATAATGGCAGGGCTATGAGGTTTATAGGTCAAAACAACAATAACAGTAATTATTCAAGTGGTCCTAAATAAGGAAAAGTTAAGCAACAATTAAATTGGATTCTAGTAAAGTAACCAGTAATAAATACCATAAATTTAAGAACTATTTTTTGGGGAAATGTGTGAACTGGAAAAAATTTATCCTTCAGTCTTTTTGGGAAATCACAGATAGTCTAATTAATCAGCTGATTGTATGAGTGCATTAAACTGCCCCCAGGGTTTATCCATGATTTCAGTGGGGGGCTGTTCTACCCATTCAACCCCCTTCAAAGAATAAACACTAAAATGCATCTATACCTTCCCATGTAGCTCTCAAAATCACCATCAGCACCATCCCAGTAAATAGCTAATCAATTACAAAAACACTAAGCCCAACACTTACTGTGGTGCCTTTGAGACAAAAGAAGCCGCATCTCAAATGTCGTAACATGTCATACTTGTTGACTGTTTGAAGATGGAGTATACCCCCTTTATCTTGGTTAATGCTGACAGTGTGGAGATTTCATTTCTGAAACACTGTGTTGGTTGGAACTGACCAAAGCAACCTTGGCTGCCAGCAAACTTTAAATCCTGCAATGTTAAATGCCCAAAATGCTACCATAGTAATTTTTCCTTCAGCTGAATTGATCATTTTTTTTGCTAGCAAGCAGGAAATTTACATAGTTCAGATTTTAATAAATGTAATATGGTTTTGGCACCAGCATACTAAGCACAGAGAGAAACCAGCAATCAGAACTACTAGGCTCCAGGGAGCGAGCATTTGATGTGATATTGCATGGCTTAGAAATGAAAATCTTTAATGGATTAAGAATGGTTCTTAGAGTTTCTGGGTTGTTCTCAAAAAGTTGATTTGTAATCCACATTTAAAAATAACAAAATTAACTTTTTAATTTGAAAATGTAAACCAAAATAATTCCATGTTCCCCCTGGGTCTGTAGGCATTTTATATTAAAATTAAGTGAAAGCTTGTATTTATCTTTTAAAACCATTCAAGATAGCAAAGTAACTGAGGAGGAAAAAAAATAACAGGTTACCAGAGAGGAAGTTGTAACTATTAGCTTCCTCTAAAGCCAAGATTGGACCATGGAGCATTCAGGGTCTTTATTACCCTTACTAGTAAATTCAATACCAAGAATATATACTTTAATATTTATTTCTACATAACAGAATAAGCCATGTGGTAAGGACATTGTATCTTTTATGCCTTTTTGACCTACAAAGTTAGAATGATATAACACAGTGACATCCTAAATTCAGAATAATGGAAGCAATAAAAGATTTTAAATCATATTTTGTATCTACTTAGCCTAATATTGTCAGTGAGATTTTGTTCTTTGTTTATTTAAAAACTGAAGCCATGATGACCTCCTAACCATTGTATATAAGAGGTTGTATATTTATCTTTTAAAATGTTCTTCTTTTTAATGAAAATTATTGAACACTGCGGTGGTTTAGTAATAGAAGCAGAGTAGAAAGTTTGTCAAGTTATTTATATGGTGAGAAGACCAGACCGGCTTTTGAAAACATGCCAAATTTGGGGGCTATGGCATTGTTCTTGTGCCATTTTATTCTGATGAGAAGATGTGAAAAGAATGAAGTCCAGTCAACTTTGAATTATTGGTGCAGTTTATTGTATAATTATATGAAGCGCTTGAGTGGCATACGGTAAAGACAAGCTTTTGGAGACAGGAAGGGGAAGCTGCAGACTTAAAGAAGGTGCCACTCAATTAAGTCAGATATTTGGATCTGTTTCCAAACAGTGCTACCAAATGAGATAGCCCATAAAACAGTTGGGATGATCCACTTAATGAATTTGAAAAGGTTTTTCAAACTGTAAAGCACCATGCATATCTGTTACTGTTACCAGCTTTCCAATTGTTCTTTTCTCAGTGACAAAATCATTTCCTGATCAAGTATGGATTTATCTCTGTGGCAGAATCGGCTGTGGGGGTGACTTTCCTCACAAGTCTCCCCATGTGCCATGGATGAGAGTAAACAAGACTGAGAGGTGATGTGATCTGCTTGGTAAGGAGAGGTGGCTAGTTTCCCAGAGGAAAAAAGCCTTGAGCAGTGGCCAGTTTCTCAGGGGAAAAAGGCGTTGAGCTCCCTCCTCCAGAGCCTTTTACTGGGTTGTACTACGCAGGAGTACAGGATCAAACAGTAGATAACATTTCAAAGAAATCTGAGGGCTTAGTCTGAGTCAGAGTCTGTCAGGAACAGAGCTTTAGGGTTTCCTGCTCGAACCCTTAACAAATGAATGAAAGTACTCTTAGCAGAGCAGATTTCACAGGTTTATCAGCAAGTCTTTGTGATGCCAGATTTTCCCCCAGGACACACTCTAGCAATCAAGGAGCTGTACCTCTCCCCATCAGGTATTCAGGCTTAAGGGGATTAGAGCCAGGAAACACTTCTCCCAGAGCACAAGGGGACTCTGGCTATGTCAAAGTCAGGGGCAAGAAGAGTCCATTGCTCTTTGTTGCAGCCCCCTGAGTCCTTCCATGATGACCTCCCAAGTGATCATGTCTGGCCTCGGTTGCCCCTCCTCTGAGGGGTCTTACTCATCAAGGACTTCTGACTATGCTTTGGGGCAGAGAGGAAACTGAGGCAGCATTTGCTACCAGAGACAAGCTTTGTCTCCTACGGCTCTCATTCCAGAGGTCACTGACTCCTCCTTAGCCACAGGGGGTGGAGTTCCAATTCCTAGAACCAGGCAGAGGTGTCCACAACAATCTGCTATATATTTAGGATGGAATAGTATGAGATTTTATAAATTGCAACAAATGTGAGAGGCTGATTAGCATTTTTTGGTGATTCTGTACATTAATCACTGAGTAACCTTTGGTTTTCAAATGCACAGTAAAGGCTGTGGTGTGACAGTTGCAATGATCCACAGCAAGAGAATTATTTAAATTCTTCACAGATGAAGAGATACCAAGGGCACATCATTATATCCATATTTCTAATTTTAAGAAGCTTTGAGTATGTTTTGTGGACGGTGAGGAGCAAACATTGTTTTGCATATGGTTTTAACCAGAAATTTCCATACTACAATCCCAAATTCTCCAGATGACTGGAGGGCTTTTCAGACACTCTTTGCTAAGGATGGAAAAATTTCTTAAAGGAAAATAATGTTATATTACATGTAATACACAAACTGAACATATTGGAGCAGTTAGAAGTGACCTCTCAAAAAGGACAAATTAGATTTCATGTGTCTCAGAATATAATGTGGCTGAGTGCTTAGACAATGATGATACATGACATATCCTCCTATTTCTAGCCTCGTAGCATTTACTTTATTATTTCTAAATGAGCTGCATAACTCATTTCTTCTTCAAACAACATCATTCAACCTAATAGTCTCTGTAAACTAAATGTAGACCAGTGCTTAAGATTTTCAGTGAATGCTAAAGATATCTGAGTGCTTGTCTAATGTTGCTTTAAAATATTTTCAAGCCTTGGACTGTGTTCAGTGGAAACATATGAGACAATCTGGTGCCAAATGGTCTTTGAACTTGAAGATATGGTAACATATGGAAGTACTCACTGTGGGTAACATACATACAGCCATAGAAACTGCAATCCTGTGGTCTATTCTGGCCACCAAATTTAAATGCGTTTCCCCAAATTCAGAGTTAAAGATTGTATATTTTTTTTAAAAAAGGAAATAGTACAATAAATAATTAATAATAATATAAGAAAAATAAAAATAAAAACTTGTTTTATGAACCCAGATATTTTCAATTTATGAGGTGCAGATGTTTTCTTTTTTCTGCTTTCTTTCTAAATATTTTACATTAATATCTTGTTACTAATGCCTTGGTTTATAACTAATAACAGTGCATGATAGTAAAAACACTGATAAATCAAAATGTCATAATTGACAACACTATTTGTCATTCATACTGAGATTTTTTTTTCTGTCTCCTATGTCTTCTTTTACTTTTCTTTCTTTCTTTTTTGTAATTTAGTTTGGAAAAGGAGATGGAAACTATGGTATAATATCAGATAAGCACCACCACTAGGGGAAAATAATAAGGTTAACTTTTCAAAGGCTTCTGAAATTAATTTTTATCACCTTTTGTATAGCAACATAACAGTGAACTAGGCAAAAGCTTTCAGTCACATCAGTTGGTTTTCTGAGGCTGCAGCTTTCTTTGCTGTGGGGGTGGTAGAAGTCCAGGCGTGAAGTGATGGCCTGGTACCCTCCACATTACCTGCAGTTTTGTGAGGTGTCTCTGGAGCTCCTCCCAGCTCCACGGACTAGAATGTCCTGATAGCTAAAGAGATGGGGGGAGTCACTTTCTACTGGTGGCTCTCCTGGCAGAGATGGAAAACTTAACCCTGCTCTTGAGGAAGATGGAAAAGCTGTTTGTCACATGTCCCAAAGCTCTCAGACACAGCATGTGACTCGCCCTCTGCCATGAGGCAGCAGGAACTGAAGATGTTTAGACTGTCTCTTGCCAACATCTGCTTTGTTATTAATTCATTTTGCCTGCATCTTTAATTTGGGGTGACAGCCGCCATTAGAGGCTTTGGATGTCATCCCTCTCAGTCACCAACTATTGGCATGTGGGGGCTATTTCCTCCCCATAAGAGTCTCAACAGTGTGCCTACCTCTGGCAGCACGTGATTCAGTGCCCTGACAGCTCCCTTTCTACTTGCATTTGCAGCTGGCGCTACCTACATCTTTGGGAAGAGTGGAGGCCTCATCCTCTACACTTGGCCGGCCAACGACAGACCCAGCACGCGCTCAGACCGCCTTGCTGTGGGCTTCAGCACCACTGTGAAGGATGGCATCTTGGTTCGCATCGACAGTGCCCCAGGCCTCGGTGACTTCCTCCAGCTGCACATAGTGAGTACCAGGCCTCCGCCTGGATCCTCTTGTCCTCCTGGTGATCTGAGTTGGTGAGCCAGATAAATACAGCTGAACGCTCTAGACAGACATGGCACAGGGGTGCATGCTTATAAAAGTTGCCTACATGTGTCGGTGTCCTATCCAAGGGATTGTCTGTGTGTGTTAAGCCTCATTCTCCTCTTCAGTTGGGAACCATGATGCCTCTAGGGTGCCTTAGGAATGGACAATTAAAAACCCTGTCCACAGAGATTCGCATCCTAACTGTGTGCTTTGGCCTGTCTGGAAACTTTGAGCAGACTGCTAGGTGTGAGTAACAGATGCACCTGGTGTGATTCATCTTAACCTGGTTTAAGCAGCAAAACCAGTTTGCATGTTCATGATCTAGGCTGGGGTCAGCAAAGTGTTTTATAAAGGGCCAGATAGTAAATATTCTGGTCTTCGGGGATCATACAGTCTCTGTCAGAGCTACGCCACCCTACAGCTATAGGCAATGTGCTTTGAAAAAGCATATGTGACTGTGTTTCAGTACAAAATATATTTATTAAAACAGATTGCTGTCTGTACTTTTGTGCCCCTGCTCTAGGCTGTTAACTTTCTCATAGAGATGTAAGGAACATGTGATTAAAAAAAAAAAAAAAGGTCGGAGTGGGCAGGGCAGAAAGAAATGAGCACAGTGACCAGCAGCTGGTGTGTTCGTGTGTCCTGTATATTCAACACCAGCCCAATAGGACTGCACCCTCCATCACTGCAGATCATTAAGAATGCAGTGCAATTCTAAGAAATTAAAATGATTTGGAGGAAAAATTACTTCATTATGAGGATAGAAAATATTTTAATAGCAACAATTAACCCATTTTATCACCTGTGCAGTCTGCAGTTAAGAAAGTGGGCTAAAGGAGGATATGATTTTCATCCGTAAGTACCCAGAGTGCAGCCACCAAGAGCAAAGAGAGGAATTGTTCTCATTAGTTAGCAGTGACAAGGCTAGAACGAATGGATTTAATTTGGAGCAATAAGAATTCAGTTTAAATAGGAGGGGGGAAAGCAGTTAAGAGGAAAGATCAACTGGGGATTGCCACCAACCTCCAAAAAAGAGGAGAAGGAACATTTGCTGGGGATCTTTGCATTCGAGTTGCACTAATGTGCTGGTCTACCAGGGAAAGCAGAGGCTGGAATTTCATTGCTGGTGTCCCGAGTGGAGGTGGCTGCCTGGCCAACACCGTATACAAGCCCAACACTTGAGGCAGTGCCCATCTCCGGCCCCTGCCCCTCCCATATGCCCTGGAAATAGGAACAGCTTGAAGTCAGAAGTTTGAGCTGAAAGCCTGTCTGGTCTCAACGTGAGCCAAGGCACCGTTTAGGAGTTCCGGGAACAGCTGGTTAGAAACGATCCCCTTCACCTTCAAAATGGGGCAGAGAGGTCTTGAACAGGGTTGTGAACATTTAATGTGCTCTCAGATGCTTCAGGAACCACAGGGTCCTGTGAGTCTGAGCTTAAGCACTTTCAAAGGCATGCCATGGAGCCCGGGGACAGTCAGCCAGAGTCGTAGTATGGTTTATCTCTATTTGGCCTGCAAGAGCCACCATAATTTACAAAACTCAGTGAGATTTATGCTGCATATAACTTAATGACTATTTCATGGCGGTGATAACTAGGTGATTATCACCAGCTCACTTGCGTTTTCCTGGTGATTTATCTTCCTTTCTTGCTCAGTATGACTTACTGAGAAAACAGGATTTGGTACAGCCATGAGCACCGTTTTTGAGAGAGATCATGTGCTACTGGTTTTGTAAAACATGTCCATTTTTAAAAGAAATGTTTTCTTATTTTTCTGACAGTTTCCTTGAAGTGGGCACTGCTTTTATAAAGTAGATGTGAAGGTTCTGGGAAGGGCCAGGAGGAACCATACATTCCAAATTTTACCTCAAAATATACAGTACCCCCTTGGGTCCAGTGACCTTATTCCAGTGAAGCTGCCATTGCTTAAACCTTTTAGAAAATCTGAACTGATTTTCTGTCCTTCAGAGCTTGGGGTAGAAATAGATATTGTCTGACTTTTTTTTTTTAAAAAAAAGAAAAGAAACCCTGTGGTGTGCAGAAACCACATTGTTCTGGACTGTACCTGAAATGTTGGTGGCCATCTCAGGCATGGGGCTGCTGTATTGGTACAGTCGTTTCAAGCAAGTTCAAAATTCCCTGGTGGGTTATCTCTGGTGTTTACTAGAGATAAAAACTGTGTGACTGTACCCAAATAAAAATGTATTTATGAAAACAGGATGCAGGCTCCATACTTTGGTGACCTCTGCCGTAGGCTACAAACTTCCTCATAAAGTTAGAAAGAAAATGCTATTAAAACTGAGTCCAGAGTGGGCAGGCCAAGTTCCTTGCTACACTTCAGAATGTAGGAATGCAAGTGGAAGATTGTAAGACTTGATTATAATAGCAAACTCTTGTGTTGGGTGTTTATAGAGATGCATCAGGAAGATGAAACCATGAATGCCTACTAAGATACTTTTATGTGATTTTTACAATCTGTAAAACATGCATTTGTTCATTGAATGTACTTTGTTTCCATGCACTGAAAAAAAAAGATTTCAAAGGAAATGATTTAAAGGCATTGATGAAAGTAGAAAGACTTGGGCAGGGAGTGAAAGATTTCGTTCCCCCTTACAGTTCACCTAGGAGGGGAGAAACTCACTGGGGGGAAGAAAGGAAAAGTGATGGCAGATGTGAAGAAGAGAGGAAAGCAGGGTGAATCCTAGGGACAGGGCAGAAAAGAAAGAAGTGGGCCTGGGGAAGGGAGGACAAGAGGACAGACAGACTGCCTACAGATGGGGGGGAAAGAGGGGAGAAGAGAGAGAGAGAATGGAGAGTTCGTGTTTCACAAACCAGTGCTGAGGGCAGCTCCTAGGAATTCCTAAGTGTTTTGAGTAGCAGTAACAGTGTCATTGAAGAAGCCCCTGTTATCCCAAGTTAGCTCATCTGAAGGAAGAGAAAATGCTGTTACAAGAACACCCTGAGCTAGGCACGCATTCCAGATGAGACCTGCCTGCGTAGGTCCCTAGAGCAAGAACGGCAAACAGGCTTCGCTTTGCCTGTCAGCTCTTGGTACCTCTCACTCTCTCACTTTCTCACTTTAAGCTTTACACTAGCAAGACGTGTGAGGGCAGCAGGCAAATCCAGCAAGGAGGAGCTCCGGCTTCCACTAGCCACGTCTGCCACCTGTGCAGAAATGGGACTTTGTGGAAAGACATATGCTGCACATTTATTAACTTGTTCTAGGCTGTACACTATCCTCCATTACATACTTGAACTTCCTCATTTCTTTTCCTTTGTCATCCTGAAATCCCCACACAGTAAAGCTTCTTTAGGAAAATAGAATCTTGTTAAACTCACATGTCACTGGAGGCCCTTGAATCATTCCTGACTGGTTAATGTAGTCAGTCTTATTATATGATCCTTCTCACACTAGGCGAAAGTCGGCAGCTCTGGTGGAATTTGAGTTTTGTTTGGCGAGTTAGGGAAAAGGAGGAGAAACAAACATGACTAGTTTGGGGACATGTAACATTTTGGGGAATGGTAGGAATTTGCGGAGAATGCTTGGGTGGAATGAAGGTGTCAGTTCCCCGAGGTAAAGAACAGGTGCAAAAAAAAGGGAGTGGGGCAGCAAGATGAGGTGGGTTGGGCTTGGACACAATGTTTTTTATTTCACGGTTTGCTCAGATTATCTGTCGTTCTGGCTGAAGCAGCAGAGGCTCTTTCTTTTGCTGGTTCTTCTTAAACCTAAGTCTTCCCACTCATCTGGACCTCATGCTGCTTAAATAGGCTTTGATAACAAGTCTTGAACAAGAGTAGGATTGAATCGTTATAAAGATCAGAGAAGGCTAAGAGACCAAATAATTTAGCAATTATTTTCTTCGAATTCGTTTACATTTCTTTGTTTTTGGTTCGTACTTCCTTGATGCCTTATTTTCTGTGTCTATGATATTAGTGAAATCACACATAAAATGTGTCTGACAAGGGCAAACAGATGTTTGTTGAAATACACATGCATGAAATGAAATTCTGTAGGGGGAGGGACCTTAAGGCAGAGGGATTTTTGAAAATCGTTATTTCAAATATAACTTTCCTCCATTGAAATCTGTTGTGGAGAAATTAATGTGGTCAACACTGGGAGAGCAGCTGCTATTGTTTTAAGTAACATCTGCCCACTAGACTCCTGTCTAGGCTCTATGGGGCTATGTCCTGTCACCCTCACCTTCACTCGTAAAATAGGGGAAACGGTGAAAAGGACCAGAGTGCCTGCTGCTGCTGTCCTGAAACTCTTGGTGACCTCCTTTCACCACTTACAGGGCAGAAGGTTGGGGAGAACTGGGCAACCACTAGCTTTTCTTTACCTAGTTATTGCAGAGCGTAAAAAAGACATCCTATTAATTTCTTCCTCCCTGTGTGTAATTTACAGTAAATCCTCTTGGATTCATTTTTTAATTATGAGCCTTTCAAGAGCAGTGAAAATTATATGTCAGGGCACCTGTTTTGTTTGATCAGAAACGATAACCTTCCCCACTGGTTTCCCTTCAGATTTATGATATAGATTCTTAAATAAAACAAGGAGGAGACCACAAAGGACCACTGCCCAGCCTGACCGCCTTCCCATAATGGCAAAGTGCGCTTCTTCCAGACCTGCCCACCTGGCAGAGAAGGCTGAAGGCTGGTGGTATTCTCTCAGTGTCATGTCAGGGGAAATTGGATATTTATTAAGTTGGGTTTACATAGTATTGCTTTTTATCATTTAGAGCATTTGAAGAGGCTTCTGGAGAATCAGGGGAAGCAGAGGTGAAAATGATAAATGGTCTGTCCGCCACATCTGTTGCATCTTCGAATTGCTGGTCTGGAAGCTTCACGAGGCCATCTCTGCGTGGGGTGTTTATAGTGAACCGTTACCATCTGCAGGATTTGTCTTCAGCAGAGTGAGGTGGCTGTTAGCTTAGGTTCA